TAATACGTATATAACTTTTACATGCGACGACCATTTTGTCTTAGATGGAATTTTTTTGTTAGTTAGGAACCGAATTGCATGAGATTCAAAATGAGCATAGCGTTAGCCATATAGTATGCCATGCCAAGCTATATCCATGCCTGGGACCTCGTATTTATTTATTAAGTTATTACTGCGCTTCGAAAGACAGTTTAATTTAACTTGGTCATTGAAGTACGATACGCTGCGCGAGTTTCACAGACATCGGGGCGCCAGCAGCCGCAATCAAGTCAATAAAATATTCCGTGATTTTTTCTATAAACTTTCAATTTACTATGTAAGCAAATTGTAGCGTGTTTATTGGAAGGTTCAAAATCGATACCGGAGTGATTATTAGTGAAATTCGCGCTCGTATGTGATAAATTTGCGTACAAGACTGATATAAATTCATTAATAATTGATATTACATAAATAAATTACTTCATTATAAATTTACATTACAGTACGTACCATTTCATTCAATATATTAACATATAACGATGAGATTAAAACGTCAGCTTTGCTTACACATATACAAATGTCAAAGATTAAGTACCTACATTTTGGATCGGACTGGGTACGTGATATGTAACGTATGTCGATATGCTGAAAATAGGAGCCGTAGTTTATGAAACCTCTTTTTGGTCGCAGCATCCTCCCACAAACTGCTCTAGCACTAAATTTTAATTAAAACTAGAATTAGTATGCATTCATGCAACGTCTGAGTTTGGCCAAATTCCTGTCACGCCTGTGCCCTAATGAACAAAATTTAAGCGAAATATTTATTTTTCAAAGATCTAACCGGTCGACCTTCTTCATTGCATTAGAAGTAATTACAAAAAATTTGCATGTGAATGGAGAGACGTGTAAAGTACCATAGATCAATAAAGTCACCATCAAAACAATAAGTAGGTACTACGTCAGCGGCAAATATAATTAATAATGACCTAGAAATAAAAAGGTATTGATCTGCGGCATTATTGGAAGCGAGCCAAGCAATAAATGAAGTATAAGCACATATTTTAGTAGCGTAAAAAAAGTCGGCCGAATCCGAAGACCTAGACACATATTTTCCATTAGGAACAATGTCTACAATATAATATGTATTGCGTCATTATAATGGTTCGTTTTAAAGCTCATTGAGATGGTAACGTAATGAATAGCTTTATTAAAAGGTGGAGCGACATTCGTAAAAGAAGCAATCAAATTTGAGTTTTACAGAGGCGCGCATTGTAGCGGCGTATAAATATGCATATTTGTTTTAGCGAATCAGATTTTTTGCGGAATTTTCTAATCACTGTAATGGAAAATTAGAGACATTGTAAATGCAAATTTGGTTAACCAGAACCGAGAGTATTATAAGTTTATGATCCATTTAATGACAATACGAACATGGTTTTTCCTAAACGACAATATGGCATTGTAGGCTATTCATTTGGTATGGTTTGTACGTTAACTTATTTTAGTGTGCCAGCAAATATTTGCATACATCCAATATTTGATTTACAAACATTTTGTTTGAGATAACCTTATTTTGCATTTTACATTTCCATGAGTCCACCCCACACAGACCCCAATAGGTAAACATTTTGTGATAATCTTACGAATTTTTACACTACTTTGACATAAACTAAGCAATTGGTCCATACAATAGTAAGACAATCTACCTAAAACTTCATCTTACTCTTGCACAACTCGCGCTACTCACTCCTTGTTGAGAAAAGATGGATTTAATTATTAAACGTCATTTAAAAAAAAGACGCGGTTAATTAATATCAAATAGGAAGGGAGTAGCCTGGGAAGTTTTTAGAGGAATTCGGTAAAAAGTGTTCAAAGGGAACCCACGTTCGGTTCCGATTTTACAATCACTGGTTTTTTTTGCCGACGGGAAACGAAACTTCTGCTTGGAATTTTCTTCTGAACTTTGTCATTTCTAGTATATCTTCGTATCATAAGTTACGAACAAACCACACTTTAATTAATATAACATCAAACGTAGTAAGTTTGATCACTTTTCATAAATAGCAGAAAACTTTCATATGAGTACTTATGTAGCAATTTGCACTTTACTCTTTCTTAATGATTGTGCTAAGGAATTTTTTTTTGATATCACGACAGCACCGTTTACAAATATGTTTTAAAGAATGATTCTTTGTAGTTTGTACTAGCGAATTATCATACTTTTTTAGCGTATTTTATCTCAGAATTTCATGCTCCATCCAAATTCTGGATAAAAAATAGGGTTTCCGTTTAAAAAATTATCGCTGACGTGATATATCAAAAACAAAAGACGATCCTTAACTGACAATTACAGTAAAATATGTCTCATTTAAACTAAAAATTTTCGAGGATTAATTCTAACATTTTTAATTGAAGATCCGGTAAGTCCTTTTTGAACGGAAGACGTTACGGTCTTAAAACTTAGATGTGAGGTAACCAAATAAGCTCATACTTCGCATCTTTTTTACCCATGTTTGTATATCTGAGATGTTGGCCACAAATGACCACTACAAACGTTTTATACAACTAAATCGCGATTTGTACACCAATTTCGACGTGAAAACACTACGCCTAATGAATTAATCTAATTCAAGTAAATAATATAAAAATTGTACGTGTTAATTATGATTCAATTATTTTTTACTCTCTACAGTGTAACGAAAAGAAATTTGTACATACCACGTAACTTTACCGGTTATATTTTTATCATGAGATTGTATTAAGTTGACGGACGCACGTTGTGTAGGTCTGTATAAGGCAGGAGAAGTGAAGTCAGTCTGTGAACAGTTGCGGTAGAGGGCGAGTTCGAGCAGCGGATTCCTTTTTGTTGCGGACCAAGTTTATAAATGCGTAAGTTGTCTTAAGGCGGCGATAACCAGCATCTGTTTCCCCAACCGGTGAGATATTCAGTAGTAAAGAATTTGAAGGAAGATAAAGCTACCGTTTTATATTTTTATCACTTGCATTTTATTCGAATTATCAGTGAAAGAAACTGAATTCCGTATATTTTAATGCGTCTTAGTGAAACTTTTATTTAACTATTTAGATTTTACTTGGTTGTTACTTATTGTTAGGATAATAATTAATTATCTGGCAAGTCCTATTTTTAACCCTTTTTATCTGAGCTAGCCTGGAAATAAATGCGGAAAGTACAATGGCCATTGCAGTAATAAAATTTAGTACCTAAGTGCCAGTTATATTATCCCAGAATCTTGCGTGTTGCGATGTGAAGGTAGGAATAGGGGGGCGAGTACAACTCGCCCCTTATAAGACATTTTAATGAGTTGTTCTTTTAGAAAATTGACTATAAGAACGAATTTTACGTAACATTGAATCTCAAGTACTGGCCAGATTTATGACATGACTTACTATCGAGTTTGAGAATTTCAGCCCGGCCATTTGAGTGAGCATCAAATACCGGTAGCTAATCAGATGTGGTGCAGTAAACCTTGTCTGATTAGATTGTGTCTTGTCTCAAATGAAGCGCGCTTAATTAACTTGAATTTCAAGATTAGTCTCAGATTTTTAGGACTTCAAGGAGCTTGGTGATTAAATAAAGTTTTAATTTTCGGACGTTATCGGTCGAATACGCCGGGCGGAATTTCCGACGTTCCTGTGCCTAATTTTGAGCATTCTATATTTTTTATATTTTAGATGGGGGCGAGGGGGGGAGTCTTTTTGTATAACGCATTGTGTGAATTTTCCTCTTTCATTCAAAGGTAAGCGTTGGATGTTTTTCTTTCCGTTAAGTATAAAAAAGGGGGTTGTGTTCCGTTTTTCCTGCATCCCGGTTCTCTACATGTCACCGCCTGCCGTCCCCGGACTTCGCCGCTTCTTTCAACTGACTGCCTGTGGCTACCGATTTTTTACAAAACCCCAAGACCGTTGCATCACCGCCGACCATTGGCCAGAAGTAAGGTTGTAAATCTTCTGGTGACGCCCGAGGATATTCATACTGACCACCGACTACTACCTTTTTTGTTGTTGTAAAGTATTATTACCGTTAATAAATTAGATACCATTATAATTTATGTTGATAATTACATTTCTAATTTTGGATGTTACTAATTTTTTATTGGTTCATTTAAATGCAACCGTTTGTGCGCGGACTTCCCGACATAACACGAGCCGTAGCTTAATCACTTCACTACATCGATGTTACAACTAAACGGAAGCACACTTCTACTTGCTTATATAGCAAACGCCTATATTTATCGAAAGTTCTCGAACACTTCCGAACGCTCCCGAATATTCTAGAATACTCTCAAACATGTCATATTTCTCGTCACATCCGCTTTCGTTTCTTATCGCCGATGACTTATGTTTAGGGGGCCTCGATATCTATGGGGATAATAAATAATTAAAATGTTATTATGCCTATGTCTTGGTGCTTTAACATTAATTCCCATAACCAGATCATTCAAATTGATTTTGTTGGTAATTTTATTGGTCCTTAAAATGATGTGTCACTCACTGAGTGGTGCATACGAGGGTGCATATTATAATTTCAAAGTGGGGGTATTTGGGGTGCGAGTGTAACCTTTCATTAATCTTCCCCCTATAAGCTGTCTAAATGAACGCGTTTTTGCATTTTTTGTTTTTTTCAATGTATCTATTAAGTGAAGAGTGAGGTGAAGATGTTTTTTTTTGCTCTGAACAGCTTTCCAAACGGCCCTAAAATAACTTACTTAAAATACAGACCTTTTTTACAGCTCGTAATGAAAGGAGAGGCCCCCATTTTCATGTTCCTTTTAAAAATCGTCCATCAAATTAGCCACCAATTCTATAGCTTTGGTATGTAAATGCGAATACTTGAATTTTTAACTGAGAGAGAAAGCCGAATATAGTCGTAAATAACGAAGCAACGAAAAACTCAAATGATCGATGACGTGCAACGGAAATTATATTGAATAAAGTGTATATTTTGTACTTTGTATTGGAATGAGAATTACCTGCATATTAATACAATTTTTTCTTTACAGGTACGCATAAGATCCATCACTTCTTCAGATTCGTAAGTGACAAATTTATGTCTTTAGTCAAATTGAGTAGTCAAATGCGGGTGGTATTTTATTCACCCTTATTGCCGAAATCTGAACATTTTACGCTCGTTTCCCTCGGGCGTCAATGACCATTACGTGAATAACAACGTACGAAAACTACCTTGCGCATAATTCAATTAAAATCATTTAAAAGGGAATTCGGTGTACTGGTTTCTCGGGTCCCTAACATAAAGATTAAGATATCAAAGCTGTAAAATGAATTCCCCACAGTGAGACATTACGTAACAAACGGGGGTGGCGAGTCCCCGCACCGCGCGTCGCTGCCTCGCTCAGGGGGCATTATAATTGTATTGTACTTTCCCTTTAAGGCAAATTGTTTCGTTCTCCCCAAAATGCAGTAGCTCGCCTTACAATGCTCAAAGGATTTTAAATGAACTAGCCGAGTGCAGGCAACGATTCAATTAGAACTGTTGCGAAAGAGAAATCTCGACAGGAAAGCAGGTCGTTTGTGTGTGTTATAATTAAATTGCAATTGTGTAGTAGAAATTTTTACATTTAGCGTAATTTCCCGTCGTACAATAGGTGAAATCATAAATAGCGGCGGGCGACAATCTGGAAATTCGTATTCCCTCTAAACGAAATCGATCAGGCAGAGTTGGGAATTTAATCTAAATTTCGATGCAACTGGGTAACATGTTGTTTATTGACTTCCCGTTTTGGAGACTTGAAATTGTAGGGTGCATTCGCGAATTTCTCTGAGGAAAAAATAAAAATTGAAAGTGCTTATCCACATATCCAAAGGGATATGCACGTGGGTGTGTAGGAGTGGTTGAATTTCTGGCTTTGATAACCAGTCTAAACCATGCTCTAATTTCACACAATCAACGAGCAATACAACCGCAATGCAATCGACTAAAGTACTACACATAAAGATTGTGCGGTTTCTATTACTCATTATCTACCGAAGTAAAAGGTGTGTTCGTCTACTTCAGTAGCTTAAGTCGAAAAAACCTTATTTTTTTATTAGTACAAATAATTGTATCGATACCAACACAGCAAAAAGGGCGTTCGAGGTCATATTTTAATAATCAAAGTACATATTATTAATATAGTACGGCGGAGTCAACCTTCTGTGGGCGGCTGACAGCGCCCAAAGACCTAAACTGTTGAGATTAGAAAAATGTATTAAACAAAGTCTTGTGGTACGAGAAACCTTAAAATAATAATAAGAATCGTCACGCGTAACGCTCGGCAGCCGAAGACGAGCTCGGCGAGCTCGCATGGCTCGCAATTGTTTACAGCGCCTTTGTGCATTTGAAAGGAAATATTACATTAAGATCGCTGATCTGTCTTTGAAATTGACTAATTTACACATTTCCAACTAAATAAAATGAATTTAAAATTATTGTTTATCATACGAACTCCCCGAGCGCGCATTTTTTTCTAAAATCGCGACTGAAAAGAGGGCGGTACAGGTCAAGCTCCGAGATATCGCAAGACAGCAAATGGCGAAAAGGAGAAAGGTATCTGTACAGTATCGTAAATTAATCATAGATGGGGCTGGGACGTAAGTGAAGGAAAGCTGGTGAAGACAAAAAAACTACAAAAGCGGCAGCAGGACGAGAATAATATGATGACGAAAATAGCAAGCATTTGACATGGAAATGGAGAGAACGTACGGTGGAGAAACAAGAGGAGTAAGGAGAGCAATCGGGTGAAGAGCGAGCTAAACCGGCGAGAAGTTATGAAAATACGAACCTGGGAACGTGAGGGGTACCTACGAAGAGGCAGCAATGAGAAATCTGGCGGGAATCACGTACGGAATGGAGAATAGCAAAACTGGTGTGCAGGAGAAAGAAAAGAGAAGGAATGGGAAGGAAGCTACAAGCTGGCAAGCAGATAAGGAACTTCTACCAGGAGGTTAAGACTTAAGAGGGGTGGACGAATAAATAAAAAAATAAAAAGAGCTGATATACTGTAGAGATAGAGGAAATGTTAGGGGGTAAAAGCGATACCAAAGAGGGGTTGGTGGAGGGTGGTGAATTACACAGATAACCGAAATAATAAAGAAGTTGGAAAATAGTAAAAGTGCAGGGGAAGACGACATTCAAGCGGGGATAATAAATGAAGGGGGGGGGGGGTAATTATAAATAATAAATAATCGGATAATTCGAAACCGTTCGCGAGTTATCATGTACACAGACGAGCGGACAGAAGGTCCAAAATCATGAACGAGCTGGGTTGCTCGTTAATAAGGAACTGTGCAAATGTCGACTTGGTGACGCTTTCTCTTACTTATGATAATCTAACCAAGTGTTTCCAATTTTTTTGTCAAACCTAAACAGTTGTACTAATAAAAATGGTGGTTTGCTCATAACTTTTAAAATACAAGGATACACCAGAAAAGACATCGTTTCGAGAAATTTTGCATCATTTGAAAATTCAATGAAGTTTCGTGCTACCGTCGGCGAGATTCCAATGTGCACGATCTATTTTGTCATTGAAGGGGGGCTGTATCCAACCCAATTCTGTATCAACATTGTCATCTGCAAAAGGGCCGTCGAATCTGAGGTACCGGTTTTTTTATTTATGTTAAATTAAAGGTTTGAATCTGAAAGTTTTATGTACTTGTAGTTGGTCGAATTCGCGAATCTCTCTGATTAAGGCCCTTAATGGCATTGGGACCATTGTGAAGAACGCTATAGCTACATACTTATATACTACACACTACAAAGGGGTAGAAGGGTCTGGCAAAGTCCGAAAGCTCTCGAATTATATGAAAAAATTAAAAAAACTATGTAAATTTTCTCAGTGCGCCCTGGCAAGGAGCTCTGGAAACCACTAGAAGGAGATGTAATGTTTTCCATACATATCTAGACACTTTTCATAGCTTAACTCGAGCCTTTATCGACAGCACCCACTCACAATTCCAACAAAACGGCTAATTTCCGCGACATTCTGGAGTGAAGGAATTTTCAAAATAGCTTCGACCTTTTCTGGATGTGGACGTAACCCGTCTTTGTCTACCAAGTAACAGATATTTTAATTGCGCTGAGCAAAAGAACATTTGTCTTTGTTGATCACTAACCCGGCTATTCGAAGGCGGCGAAAAACCTTTTCTGGGGTTTCAAGATGTTGGTTAAATTCCGAGGAAACGATGATATTGCCCTCTAAATACACTAGTACCGAAGATTGAAGATCGGTACCTAACACACCATCAATAAAGCGTTGCCGTGCGGCTGGGGCATTGGTTAAAGGTCGCGAAGTTGGTCAAGAATGGTCGATACATAGGGTAGAGGATAAGCGTCTTTTTTTGTTACAGCATTCAGGGGTCAGTAGTCGACGCCGAATCTATGCGTGTCTTTTTTTAACTAGACATTGTAAGGCCCTTTTGTCCATGAATTGCTTTGTTGCAAAACTATGGTCTTTAACTGCTCATAGAGGAAATGCCAGGATTCGTTGTTCTACCAGAATTTCAAATAATTACACCACAGATACAGGATTTTGTAATGTTAAATTTAAGGTCTTGCGTTGTCCGCCAATTAATGAATTATCACCTTGGAGGTTGGAAACATTGGAGATATCTGAACAGGCAGAAAAATCCGGTCGCATATTGAGTACGATTCCCATAGCGATCCAGAAATAAATACCTAGGATGAGAGTTCAAGTTCAGGTATAACTAAAACTGGTATAATTCGAATGATATCCATACGATTGATGTGAGTTTCGACATATGCCCTATACTTTCACATTTTGCTCTATTTGCACTGTACAGGTACACGTTAAAGTGTCAGGATGCAAAGAACTCAAGGTTTGAAATTTTTCTTCCACCTGCTCCACTAACTAGAGTTCTCGATGCCCCAAAATCTAACGGTCCAAGAATAGAATGACCTGAGACCTTTGGTCGTTCGGAGCATATGAAATAACAAAGCAAGAGATTTATGTTGAGCGGTCGGTGAGGTAATGGAGGAAGACCAACAGGTCAGGTCCCCTGCTGGGCGCTTCCCAAATTGGAACACTGGCGACACACTCTAACTGTGTAGTCCGCTTTACCACAGCAATAGCAGAGTAAGTTCCTCGAATGTGGACAATTGTGAATGATATGGTCCATTACTTAGCAATTTCAGCAAGTGAATTGTTACTAACTGTGAACCCTGCGTACGAACTTCACTAAGGGATGTGGATGGCAATGGTTCGACTTGAGTAGCGGAAACAAATACAAAGTCAGCTGCAACCGATTGCTGAAGGACATCATTATTGAACCGTGTTATAGTCCCTTGTCCTCTCCAGTATGTCTAGTTAAAAGAAAGATGGTCGCATAGATTGTGTGCCGACTACCGGACAGCTGAATGCTGTAACAGCAAAGACGCTTATCCTCTACCCTACGTATCGACCATCCTTAATCATCTTCGATAAGTATCTTCGCTCGATCGATTTAAAATTTGCTTACTGACTGACGTTACACGTTAGTCACAATTTATTTTAATGTTGTAAAACACATTACAAGAGAAATATTTCATCCGTAGTATATAGGTCAAGGTGTTATACCGTTAGCGCTTTTACATAACCCTATTCCTTGAGGTCATATAACGCCGTACAGTTTAAGCATAGCGAGTGGGTCTTGTGTTTTGTTAATTTTCTACGCAGAGAGGTTCAACTTACTGTTCATATGGGCGCCAGAAAGTTTTAGCTTTGCCTTAAACGAAATGGGTGAAATAGATTTCCGGAGAAATTTGTGATAAAATCACAGTAAGAACGGTAATAGACAGTTTGGGCAATAGTTCCAAAGTAATAAACGCATCAATAGTTTATTTAATGAAGATTTTGTTCCCAATGCAAACGCTGACTTTATAAAATAGTGTAATTAATTTCCAGCATCCTAGAGAATTATAAGATATCCGACTCGATTTATTCATACCGTTTAAGAATATTGATGAAAAACAATTTGTTATTCCATTCCGTATTTACATATTATTGTTGGGATGAATTCGAGCATTGAATATTAATACTG